AAAAGAAATTAAATAAAAATGACAAAAGCTTTATTCGCCAGGTGTGCGCACACACGAGGAATTTGTTGTGGTTTTTTTTTAAGGTGCTCCTGGTACATAGCCTACATACACACATACATACATACACATCTGACATGAGAACAGAAAAAAAAAACATTTAAATAGTAAGACTTAACAATAATAAATAATGTGTATGAATCTGGAACAGTAGATTTATGTACAGATTTGTGCATTATTTACTCTATATACAGTTGTATAAATAAAGAGATATGCGTATGCATTTACATAATACTTGAGAAAGAGGCAATATTTAAAGATGTAGAATGAATTACAGAACACAGGTAATGATTCATGTGTTAGCTGTTTAAGCTGGAGATGGCATTGGGGAAAAACTGTTCTTATGCCTAGATGTTCTAGTGCACAGAGATCTGTAGCGTCTGCCTGAGGGAGAAGTGCAAACAGGTTATGTCCGGGGTGAGAGGGGTCTTTGATGATGTTACATGCAGGGATGGGCAAAGATACATCAAAATGTATTTTTAAAAAAAAAACAAATACCTTAATTTTAAGTGTATCAAAATAAACCACAAAATACAGCAGCCACACCAAGTATCAAAATAAACTACTGTATTTTTGTATTTTAAAAATACTAAAAAATACTTTTACAAGGGAGCATGAAATTTCTTCACAAACTCCAGTCTAACGGACCCAGTGAGTGTCCATCAAGAGTACTTTTTCCCCCGCTGTAGTTACCGCGTCATCAGAGAGAATTGCGGTTACAGAATGGAGTCGAACACCAGCTCGCTGTCCAGCCTCCGAACTACTTTAAATGGGTTCATGCAAGTTTACTGAAAAATGGCTTGCGAATTGTACTTGCCCGACAGGACTAAAAGCCTGATTAAAATTTGTGACAAAATAACGCATCAAAACGCGCGAATGATTCTATTGATTTTATTACATTTAGCTTGAATAGCGATTGATAATGGATAGTGTATTTCTATTATCAGTATCGCTGTAACAACGTTCGTAGTCACGAGAAGGAGGCGGGAACCGGCGAACGTTCAAAGAAAACTTTTATAATAAAATAAACACAAAATAGCGCGACAGCCCCTCGCAAACATACTGAGGTAAAAATTCTAAATGTTTAGTTTATTTATAGCATGATATAGTCAAGTAACATACCATGACAAGGGATCTATTTTGCTGAATATTTTCACGATTGCAAATGTTACATTGATTTTAGTTCAACAAACAAGTAGTAAAGTATATGAAGTTACTTACATTTTAGACACAATTGACTGTTTTGTTCTATTTCACCAACGAAAATAGTTCCAAACAAAGATCAGAACAGAATTATTGCACATTCTCCAAGCCACACCTGGCGTCTTTTGTTACTGAATGATTCAGAGGTTTGAAGGAATAAGTGACTTACCGCCACCTACTGGCGGTTTAGTCTCATGCTTAAAAGTTTGCATTTTCCCCCAACATTTCTCATTTGTATGTTCAAAATTTAATTTACAACATTAATCTCATAACATTTTTTATTGCAGTTGTAATTTTGTAGGGTAAATTATTTAATTTGATTGGTAACAGCCCTGTAGTGTATTAAATTTCTTGATCAATTGTAAGAATTTGACATGAAAGATGTCATACATTTAATAAGGTAAAAAAAATATTGGCCTTTATAAAGGTAAATGACATCCTGTGGTAAATATTAAAAACATGCAGATTTAAGTATGTAAAAGCTGACAGAAAACTGATGAAAATATTGCTTCAGAATAAATTGTTTACACCACCAAAAATCTTGGTGATGCGACACTTTTGTTTTTATATTTTGTATGGGATATTGTCTGCTGATATGAAAAGTTCACTGTATATCGTAATAACAAATAGCATTTTTGACAGCGATGATATTTAGTTTTCTTTTTACATTTAAACGTGTTAAATATTGCATATATGTATGTAATATAATGTGTATTTCCATCACAGGTTTGGTCTTAAATTTCACATAAGGTGGTATTAAAAAGGTCTTAAAAAGTCTTAAATTTAACTTGTTCATATCTGTACTAGACACCCTGTTCTCATTGGGCCTTCTATTGGAAACCAATGGGGCCAAAAAGTCAAGTCACAAATAAAAAACCTAAATATCACAACCAATCTTTTTTTTTGTTTGTCAAAAAAGAGATGTCAGCTGTTGAATGTTATCTCAAAGCACAATTGATGTGTTTGTAATGCAGCATTATATATATATATATATATATATATATACACTGAATACTTAGGACCATGTGATTATTTCAGTTTTTCTTTTTTAATAAATCTGCAAAAATGTCAACAATTCTGTGTTTTTCTGTCAATATGGGGTGCTGTGTGTACATTAATGAGGAAAAAAAATTAACTTAAATGATTTTAGCAAATGGCTGCAATATAACAAAGAGTGAAAAATTTAAGGGGGTCTGAATACTTTCCGTACCCACTGTATATATGTGTGTGTTTTTAATATTTAAAAGAAAAATCTATTTAATTCATCCCAAAATCACTAGCTGTGCTGTATTCTGCTTATTTCAGCAAATGGACTCCAGGGATTGATAATAAACAATTTGTATGCTGTGCCCATTGCTGCAGCCCCCTCAGCACCCCTACTTCCCGCGTCCCTGTCGGTGGGCGATAATGTTCTGTGTTAATATGAGTGCGCGCTGCAGTTTTGTCTGCTGGTTTGAATGCAGGATGGATTCTGATTGGCTGTCAATGTTTTTATCGTTCATCAGCTGGAAAATAAAAATAATTTCAAAAGTGAACCGAACGTTATAGTTCCTCCGTGCCATTTAATCTCAGACTGCAGGATTTCAACAATTCACCAGCGATTATGATTATGATAACTACACACTCCAGCCACCAGGGAGTGTGATAAACCGCATCAGTCTGTAATCGTTATCGTTTACAGATTAACTAAAGGCGGCCACTTTTAATTGTGGAAAGTTTGTTGAGGTTGTTTGATGATCAATGGTTTACATGTGTTACACCTGCTCTAGTTGATTACATTTTATGTTGAAGTGGATTGTAAATGCCATTTAAACTGGACTGACTGCATCATTGTCTGATCTACTGTTTGCCTTTTGGATTTTTACACCATTGAATTATTGGCTTCAACATCGATGGGAAATATGGTGAGATCTCTTCTTTTTATGTATTTATTTGATCGTGCTTGTCAAGCTGAATTGTTGCTTATTTACATTTTTCACTAGATTCATTCAAAATTGTGGTCAGATCTTTCAATATTATTTGAATTTTATTTTTAAGTTATTTATTTGTATATTGACATTGGAATTTTTCCCCCATTATTTGTATTTTTTGACCAGGAGTGTTCAGAAACTGTTGGCATTTATGAGAATTATTGTTTGTTTATACATTGAATTATTCACTTATTCATTTTTATATATATGCTTATAATATACTCTTGAGCTTATTTTGCACTTAATTAATGTTTATGTACCATGTTAGTGTTATGTATTTTACATCATTGGGTTTTTGGCTCCAACATAAATACTTTTTTCTTTTTTTTTTTTTTGCTGCATATTGGAATATTTGCTTTTTGGAGACTCAATCGTTGCTATTTTAATTTTTCATTGGAGTAGTTCACTAACTTGTCTTTATTTTGGCATTTCTACAAGGATTATTCTGGTTTGTTTACATGCTTGAATTAATCATTTGATAATTTCATATATGAATAAAATAAACCTGTGAGCTCGTTTTTATTCACATGTAGGCTATCTACCGTTGGATTGTTGGCTTTAACATCAATAGGAAATATAGTGAGATCCTTTTTACGTAGGCCTATTCATTTATAGGAATGCATATTGGAATATTTGTTTTTTGGGGCTATTTTTGCTGAATTCTTGCTTTTGGATTTTTCACTGGAGCTGTTCAGAAACTTGGCTTTACTTTGGCATTTATGTGAGGATTGTTCTGGTTTGTTTATATGGTGATACCTTTCCCCTTTTAACTATTTATTATTCTTTTTAAGCAGTTTTTGCTAAACTGAACTTTTGCTTTATATTTTTGGGAAATGTGGTGCGATCTTTTCATTTTATTTATTACTTTTTTTACTTATTGCATTTTGCAGTGTATTTATTTTTGGCTATTTTTGCTAAACTAAAAAAATACTATATGTACACACATGTATATAATACGCCCTTGAGCTTATTTTTAGTTTAACATGTTAAACCTCTTTAAAGGCACAATATGTAAGATTTTTTTATTAAAATATCCAAAAACCACTAGAACGGTGTTATATATTTTGCTGACTTGTGTACTTACATTATCCCAAATGTTTCGAAGAATGTTTAAATCCAGAGAAATAAGCAATTTTAACTAGTGACACGGACCGTGTCCATAGTGTCAGTGTGTCGCCTGCCAATGACGTCATAACCCCTCGTTCCATGTTTTCTCGCTTTGTAGAAAACATGGAAACACCAAAGATGCTTTAATATGTTGTGCGTTTTATTAGACCGGTGACGACCGCACAGAGTAGCATTATAACAGAACTTTCAAATGTATCTAGTATGATAAAACAGCGCTGCTTTACCCCACATACGCACAACCGGAAGGAGCGGAAGCGGTCGACTGTGGCATAATAAAAGCTCCGCTGCTTTCGAGCCGTGTGTCACGCTGGTTCAGTGGCCTCGTTTCACTTTGACGGCTTTCCGCCTCACCCTGCTTCATTCTACTACATTAATAAATCATTAGCTCATCGATGAACATGATTTCTGCCCGAGACCCGTCGGATTGCATCGGCTGTGGGGATGAAGACGACAACTCCCATGATTCAACTCTCAGTCACGGTGTCATCAAACTACGCCTTTGTCTATTTGTTTATTTTGAATACGTGTCCTCCAGCAGCGAAAATTACATATTGTGCCTTTAATGTGGAGTGCTTTACTGCGGTGGTCATTTGAATGGTTATAGTCCTCCTCTCTAATGGACACCGGCATCAGAAAGTGTCATCACTGGGGAACTGAAGTGAACGTGTGTTTCTGTACCTTCTCAGCGGTGTGTTTGATGAGGGTGAGGCAAGCGTGTAGTTCAGCGGGCAGCGGATTCACAGCGGGGGTCAGGTGTGTGCTGGCTAACGCTGGAGAGAAATCTGACAAACAAACACACATGATTGACTGTCTGACACACACTGACCGCCTGCGGTGAGTCTGACTGAACAGATTACCTGTGATGAGAGGTGCTGACGTCCCCGGATGGACGGGAAGAGTGTGTCTCAGTCGCTCCATGTCTCTGTGATGATCTGTCATCCTCAGACGCTCCTGCAGATCACACGAGCAGAGTTACACAGCCATGAGGAACTAGATAACTGAACTACATCATTTAGTTCAGCTGTTTTCAATACAGTGCAGCACCACACTACATCTCCATCAAATAGTGGGATACTGTTGTCATCACAGTCAAACATGCTCCTAAATATCCTCTCTCTTAGACTGTGTGTAGTTTTGGGAAGTCTGGTTCATTTTAATGAATCGGTTTGTTTGCACAGTCCATTTGAATCAATAATATTGTTCTAATGGTTCATTGATTCATTATTATTTTGAGACATGATTATTCTGACCTGTACTTATTAAAATACATAAACGAAAAAACGATCATACAAAATGTATTATATTTTAAATGACTAAAAATGTCTTGCTGACAAACGGGTAAGATCTAGTGGTTTAAACTAGTGCTGTCAAACGATTAATCGCGATTAGTCGCGATTAATCGCATCCAAAATAAAATACTTTGTTTACATAATATGTGTGTGTACTGTGTATATTTATTATGTATATATAAATACACACTCATGCAGTATATATTTTGAAAATATTTATTATTTATTATACACATTTATATTATATATAAATATATTTAATATACAAATATAACATTTTTCTTAAATATATACATGCATGTGTGTGTATTTATATATACATAAATATACACAGTATACACACATATATTATGTAAACCAATACTTTTATTTCGGATGTGATTAATCGCGATTAATCGTTTGACAGCACTAGTTTAAAGGATAGTGGCAAATATTTGTGAAGATTTAAAATGACAGGGCACATTCTAGCATACGTAAGAAATGTAAATTTGATGCTTGAAACCCCTTTTTTGTGTTTGACCCATATATCATTTACATTTAATTTATTTTAAAGTCATTTTGTGACAGTGGTTGTGGTCAGTGATGAGTGTGTGTGTGAGACCTGCTGTAGGTTGTGCTCCTGTTGTCGTAGTCTCTCCATCTGCGTGTGGATGTTGCGTAGTCGTGTCTGATGTTCGGCCTCCAGCTGTCTGGCTTCTCGCAGTGCTCGCTCTCCCTCCTCAAAGTGCTCGAACGCCAGCTGTGACACAGGAACACTTCAGTGTCACATGATCAGCATCACACACACAGATCTGCTGTAGTGTTTTACCTTACTGAAGCTCTCCACCTCTTGCGCTCGTGTCTTGAGTCTCAGAGCCGCGGCACTCAGTCTGTCTTTCTCGGTGTCCAGCTCCTGTCTCAGTTTCTCCAGACTGTCTCTCTCTCGCAGCAGCACTTCTTCCTTCTGTTTCAGCTCTCCGGCGCGCAGCTTCAAATCCGCCTGCTCCTGAGTATCACACAAGAAAAATGTGATTTATTCACTGCGCCTTCCTTTCTCATCTGATGCCACCAGTCCCTCTTACTTTTGAACTTCTCTCCTCTAACCACCTGCAGCTGATTGTATCAACTTCATCTTGTGTTATAAGTTAGCAGTCTTGTTTTTTTAACTAAATCTGTTAAAATAGTTTTCTTTAATTAAAATAAAGCTGAAATAAAATACATTTTAAATATTTGATGAACTTAAACGAAAAACTACTAAAAATGGCAAAAGCACATTTTAAAATGAATACAATTTAAACTAAATTTAGTTTAGAAATCAAATTTGATTTGAATTTAAATTTAGTGTATACTTGCTTAAACACATCTAAATTTAAATTAAATGAAAGCAACAAATATGAAAATACAAACTAACTCAAAATATTAATAAATACTAAAACATACTATATTGTACTAAATACTATACTACTAAAATATTATATATTATAAAAATATTATATATGAATATAATAAATCACCCTACATCTTTTTATTTCATTGAATATCACTTTTTATTTATTCTGCATGTTGAAAAATTTTTCTTTGTAAATATTAAAATGTACATTTAATCTAAACTCTTGAATGTAAAATATTATATCTTTATATATTTGCAATTTAGACTTTTTTTTCCCCCTCAGAATTCTAACATTAGGCCTATTTCTTAGGTGTTTTCAACTTTCAACTAAAATTCTGGCTTTAATTGTCAGACAGTTAAGATTTAAATTGCATTCCAAGATACAAAGCTGCAATTCTGACTTTAGATCATAAAATGCAAGTTACAAAAAAAAATCATAATTTGCGACATATAACAAAAAATTAAACAAAAGCAAGATGTATTTGTATTAAAGGCAGAGTAAGTGATTTCTGGTAGCCAATGTTGATATTTAAAATCACCAAAACAAACACGCCCCTACCCCAAAAGGGTCTTGCCTCTATTCTGATAGCTCCGCCCCACATATACGTATGCAACCCAGGCAACGATTAGTTCTGTGAAACAAAGCAAAACGCTCCGGTTACTATCGTAACCTCGGTTCCCTGAGAGCGGGAACGAGACATCACGGAGATATTTCTAGAATCTAAAGGTTGGAAGGGAAAGAGTTCCCATAACGGAGAAATATCTCCGTGATGTCTCGTGAAAGCTTGAGGGAACGCTTTATGTTTAACGTTTTAACATTTAACATGTCGCGTTAATATTCTGGCTCATCTGCATGTCTTTTAGCATCAATGTCTTAGTACATTAAACCAGCATTTTAAAATGCTACAAAATTGTTCACAAGATCCTAGGGATTTGATTTTGCTTGTCATTTGTTGAAATAAATATAAAAAGTACAGCTTACTGACTGCTGATTGGCTACAAGTTTGTTTTGCTATTCGGCCCGAATCAGTTTTCTAAGTGTTTTTGAAAAATCACATACCCTGCCTTTAAGATGAGGCCTGTTCATTTATTTATATGGTGATACCTGTTTTTATTCATTCATTCATTTTTGCATATTTGATTTGTTTTTGTTTTTTTTTAGCTATTTTCGCTGTACTGAATTGTTGTTATTGATTTATTACATATAGGAAAATGTATTTGTTTATTTTTAGCTATTTTGGCTGAACCAAATTATTGCTTTATTTTGATATGTTAACTCTCAATAATAAGATAACTTGGAATTGTGCATAAAAACTGAAAAATAGTGATATAAATCACAAATATGGTTTCATAGTACTGAGATACACTACTACTGTATGACTTAACATTGTGCTGTTTGTGTTTGCATGTAAACATTAGCACCTAGCTCAATTCATTACATAAAAATTCATTATCACTTTTAGGCTCATATAGGTTCAAAAATGTCTGTATTGTTCATCATGATTAATATTAGCTGTCACACCATGATCCATATTTTGGCCTGTACTGTGATATGAACTGGCGGTGCTGTGTTGACCTGTGCCATGCTGATGATGGACCCCTCTCTGTGCGCGTCTCTCTCCATGGCTCGGCTGGCCTCTCTCTCGGCGTGCTCCTGACGCAGTTTCTCCTGCGTGTGAAAGCGGCTCCACTCGGCGGCCAGCTTCTTGCGCTCTTCTGAACAGTGCTGCAGAACTGAGAGCGAATGACAGATTTAGATCCGCTGATCCGTTCTGCACTGATCTCGAGATGTTCGTGTTTGTACCTCTGAGCTGTTCGTCTCTCTGTCTGGCTCCGATCACTGGTCACCGCATCGATCTCCTCGTCCTTCAGTTTCTTCAGACGCTGGATCTGTTCTTCATGATCTCGCTTCATCTCTCGCAGCTCTCGCTGAGCGGCCGATTCCTCCAGCAGCTTCACACGAGCTCTGAGACAAGAGCACATACATCACGCCAAATGCACTCTCACTGGTGTGTGTGTGTTACCTGTGTTACCTCTGTGTGTTTGTGTTGCCTGTGTGTTACCTCTGTATGTGTTACCTCTGTGTGTGTTGTGTTAACTGTGTGTTACCTCTGTATGTGTGTGTTACCTCTGTGTGTGTTAACTGTGTGTTACCTCTGTATGTGTGTTACCTCTGTGTATGTGTTAACTGTGTGTTACCTTTGTGTGTGTGTGTGTGAGATAGATAGAGAGTGTGTGTTACTTCTGTGTATGTGAGTATGTTACCTGTGTGTGTGTGTGTGTGTTACCTGTGCATGTTCTCCATGAGCTCAGTGTCTTGTTTGTGTCTCTGTTGAACGCTCTCTAACAGCATCTGATTCTGGTCTCTCTACCTCTGTATGTGTGTATGTGTATATGTGTGTGTGTGTGTGTGTGTTAACAGTGTGTTACCTCTGTGTGTGTGTGTTAACTGTGTTACCTCTGTATGTGTGTGTTACCTCTGTGTGTTACCTCTGTATGTATGTGCGTTACCTCTATGTATGTGTGTTAACGGTGTTACCTCTGTGTGGGTGTTAACTGTGTGTTACCTCTGTATGTGTGTGTTACCTCTGTGTGTGTTAACTGTGTGTTACCTCTGTATGTGTGTGTTACCTCTGTGTGTGTTAACTGTGTGTTACCTCTGTATGTGTGTGTTACCTCTGTGTGTGTTAACTGTGTGTTACCTCTGTATGTGTGTGTTACCTCTGTGTGTGTGTGTGTGTGTGTTAACTGTGTTACCTCTGTGTGTGTGTGTGTGTGTGTTAACTGTGTTACCTCTGTGTGTGTGTGTGTGTGTGTTAACTGTGTTACCTCTGTGTGTGTGTGTGTGTGTGTTAACTGTGTTACCTCTGTGTGTGTGTGTGTGTGTGTTAACTGTGTTACCTCTGTATGTGTTACCTCTGTGTATGTGTGCTAACTGTGTGTTACCTCTGTATGTGTGTGTTACCTCTGTATGTATGTGTTAACTGTGTGTTACCTCTGTATGTGTGTGTTACCTCTGTGTGTGTTAACTGTGTGTTACCTCTGTATGTGTGTTACCTCTGTGTATGTGTTAACTGTGTGTTACCTTTGTGTGTGTGTGTGTGTGTGTGTGTGAGATAGATAGAGAGTGTGTGTTACTTCTGTGTATGTGAGTATGTTACCTGTGTGTGTGTGTGTGTGTTACCTGTGCATGTTCTCCATGAGCTCAGTGTCTTGTTTGTGTCTCTGTTGAACGCTCTCTAACAGCATCTGATTCTGGTCTCTCTCCAGCTGTAAACTCCTCACCTGAACACAGACGCTTGACGATCTCAGTTCCTGCATTCAGCGAGAGTCTCCTGAGCAATCAGTCTGAGGTAACTGTACCTGTCCCTCCAGCTGAATGATGTGTTTCTGCAGTGACGTCACGTCATGCTGATGGTCCGTGTCTCTGAGTCTCTGTGAGTCCAGAGAGCCACTCAGACCCCCCAGCTGAGACTGAGCCAGCTACACACACAACCCTTCATTAGTTTACATTAATCACCATTACAGCATGTTTTGTATTATATCTGTGTGTGTCACCTGTTGTTGTATGAGTAGCTGCTATAGACTGTGTGTAGACAGAGGTGTGTGTGTTTGTGTCGCAGGTACAATGCCCTCTGCAGGAGACTTCTGTGGAAACACTGAAACAACTGCAGCTTTAAAAACACATTGTTATTATCTACACACTATGGAATATGCGTTTTCTTTATGTGGAATATAACTTCCCATTTTATTTCATATTTCTGTTTGTTTTCATTAGCTTGATGTAATAGTTCTCATGATAAACTCCTGCTTTACACTAGTAGCACCTACTCCACACTGCAGGGGGCGCTTGAGCAGGCAGATGCCACCCCTGGACTGGATTTGAGGTTGTGTGCTGCTGGTTGAGTTAAAGGGCCGTGATTCAGGCTCTCTGGACTGTGACAGGGTCTGATTGAGTCCTGGAACGGGACAGAACCAGTGAAGAGGAGCTGAGGGGCGTGACGGACACGAACAAGTGGGAAACATGGCCTGAAATACACTGAGCGAGTCATGAGATGCAGGGATTTCTGAGCAGATGACTGCGTCACTACAGGTGAGGGACTGAATTGTGTTGTTTAGGGATGAGGTCTGTTTTATACGGTTGTTTTATCGCTTTTAATGGGTAAGACATGCTGGAATGGTGCTTGCTGAGAGGAAACTAACCGAATAACTAAGAAATGAGGCGACAGATCGCTATTATGATGATTTTCCATAACTTTTCCAGATTTATTTTGTGAAAATTTGTGAACTGTCCCTTTAAATCAAAGCCTCTCAAACTTTTTGACTCCAAAACAAT